AATGTCTCTTTCGTTGAAATAGTTGAGCACAACTTCTCATACAATAGTTTCATATTAATTTGTTTAAATTTAGTGTTATGGGCTGGGGATTTAGCTTAGCGGCATAAGCACCTGCCTTGCAAGCATGCAGTGGTGAGTTCGACCCCCAGCACTGATAAAAAAAAAAATTGGTGTTATATTTGAGATATCAATTACCCTACACTTTCAGTGTTTCTACTTCTTAGCTTGCTTATGCAGAAAACAGACTGGGATATTAGAATATAAATATTCTGACAAGCTAGAATCTATTATGGAGCAAACAACTACTTTTTTACCAAAAGATAATAAACAAGGACTTCTGACCAGACCAAGTACCCTGAATATAAGTTTTCTTTAAAATACATAGCTCCCAGCCAGGAATTTAGGTCAGTGGTATAAGCACTTGCCTGGCAAGCACAAGGTCATGAGTTCAATCCCCAGTACCTTAAAAAAAAAAAAAAAAAAACACATACCTCCTAATCGAGGTTATCATTTTCTGATAATGGCTAGTGAAGGGGATTAAATGTAAGACAGTTTTGTGTGAAGTACGACCTGTCTAGATTGCTCCTTGAAAGAGAATAAATAACGCAAAAACAATCCAAGGATGTCATGAAAAATATAAGACGCTGTGTTTGTGCGCTATTTTAGCCAGATAAGATCTAGATGGCATTTGCATTTAGAGGGAACCCAATTAACTGTAACACTGAAAAAAATATTCATTGGAATTAAAGTCTTAACCTCAATTTTTGCATCAAAGAAAAGTTCCTTTTTTCAGACAACCAGGTAAAGAAAAAGATCATCTCACCAGAAAGCAACAAGCACTGAGCCAGAGAGACAAACTTTCAAAATTTCTCTAAAGGGCGGGGATTTAGCTCAGCAGCATAAGCACCTGCCTTGCAAGCAGGTGGTTGTGAGTTCAATCCCTGGCACTGATAAAAAGGAAAAAGACAAAAAAAAAATTTCTCTAGAGAATACAAACTAAGAATCACTATGAATTAGCCGGGCGTGGTGGCTCACACCTGTAATCCCAGCACTCAGGAGGCTGAGGTGGGAGGATCGTTGTGAGTTCGAGGCCAGCCTGGGCTACAAATTGAACTCAAGGCCAGCGTGAACCACAGAGCTAGACCCATCAAAAAAAAAAAAAAAAAGAATCACTATGAATTCTAGGAGTATGAGGTAAAGATTCATTCATAGCACATATACATCAGGCACTGAAGGTTAAGTACTAAACAAACCAGATAAAAATCACTGCTCTCATGGAGTTAATATTTCCATTGGGAAGAGGTAAGTTAAATGCATAGTACACTCATCCTTCAGTACCCAAGAAGTTTTTCCAACACTCCCATTAAGATATCAAAACCTACAGATGATTAGTCTCTTAATATAAAATGGCACAGTATTTGGATATAATTTATAGGGTTAGGTTGAGGATTAGGGTTAGGTTTAGGGTTAGGGTTAAAAGTTTAGTGTTAGTGTTAGCGTTAAGTTTAGGGGTTAGGGTTAGGGTTAGAGGTTAGTGTAGGGTTAGTGTTAGGGTTAGGGTTACTATTAAGGTTAGGATTAGATGTTAGGGTTATGGTTAGGATTAGGGTTTGGCATTAGGGGTTAGAGTTAGGGTTACGGTTAGAGGTTAGTGTTAGTGTTAGGGTTAGGATTAGGGTTAGGGTTAGGGTTAGGGTTATGGTTAGGGTTAGGATTAGGATTAGGGTTTGGTATTAGGGGTTAGGGTTAGGGTTATGGTTAGAGTTAGGGTTAGGGTTAGGTTTAGGGTTAGGGTTACAGTTAGCGTGAGGGATAGGGTTAGGCTTAATCTTACGGTTAGGGGTTACGTGATAGGGATAGTGTTAGGGTCAGGCTTCGGGTTACGGTTAGGGTCAGGGTTATGATTAGGTTAGGCTTAGGGTAAGGGTTATGTTTATGGCTAGTTTGAGGATTAGGGAGGGCAGAGATGCAGGAGAAAGTCATCAGGCCCCAGCATGTCTCAAGGGCAGGAGAGGCTTCAAGGGCTCCCCACTGGGCAAAGACCGGCTAGTTTGAGGATGAAAAAGAGAAGGGAAAAACCCCCCTAGGGACTGGACTGAAACATGCCGAGTATACACAGAGGTCACCTTTCTAAGGATGTGAACACTTGAGGTTCCCTTCAGAGCTTCTGCCCGTTACCATGGAACCAGCTTGCATTATGAAGATGGATAAAACGACCCAGCTTTTATCTTTGCTGGTTTAAGGTTCAAACTGAATTCCAGGGCAATCAGAGAGCTGGGGAGAGAAGCTTTTCCGTAGGATTCTGGCTAACAGACGAAGAAGGGGTGGTGTCACTAGGAAACCACCATTTCACACTGGATTTCGACAGCCACCCTCAGTGGCTGCCAAAGCCCAGGAGGTAACCTGTGTGGCACAGCCGTCCAGTAGGCACACCAGGAGCCTCTACTAAACCCCTGAAAGTGAGAAGGCCGGGCTTTCGCAGTGGGAAGTTAACCTCATCTGTGAAGTTTTCTCCTATACATACCCTTTATATATGTTAAACCATGACTGGATTACTTAAAATACTGAATGCACTGTAAATACTGTATACATAGTTATTTAACTGTGTTGTCTAGGAAATAATGACAAGAACAAAAGCCTGTGCATGTCTGATACACATGCAATTCCCCCCCCCAAATATTTTCAACTCAGGGTTGGTTGAAATGTAGAAACAGAGAGCCAACATACATTATGATCATAATGCTAAGAAAAACAGTTGGAACAACAGAAAGTGTTCACAGGGGTGGCTAGAGAAGACTTGAGAAGGTGGTATTTGAGTACATCTGATTTACAATGTTTCATAGTATACTTGAGGGTTAAAACAAAAAGGTAGCTCAAGAAATCATACTGCTCATACTCATGGATTATATTCATGTGTATCATGACTTAGTGGTGGCATTTTTCTTCAGAAATAATAACTTAACCTGTTCTCTATGAGCGACAAGTTGAAGTAAAGTTAGTTAGTATATATTTTCTCATTAGATAAAAGCACATCTTTAAAAGTCCTGCTTTGAAATTTTCCCAAAATAACAACAGAAAGAGAACAAGATCTCCAAAAAAAGGAGAAAAAGTAAAAACAAATGGCCAAGCAGCTTACATGCCACAGGATTTCTGCGAAGACAATACTATCGTAAGTATATAACAGGATATAAGGAAAGATAAAACTATAGCAAAGTAGTACTGACAAGCTTCTCAAAGCTAGATACAAATAAATAAAAATAAGATAAAATAAACTGTAGGAAAAACATAATCTATCTTGGAAAGAGGAGGAAAAAAATCTACTACAGGAAAACTGCTAAAAATGGATCACTGCCATACAGGTAAGTAACAATCCTTCAGCGCTTACACAGACAGTTCCAAGGCCATTCTGAACTATCTAGTGAATAAAATTGTCTCAAAAAACAAAACAAACAAAAAGAAAATCCTGCTACTGTACACGCCTACTCTTCCTAGTGTTAAATCAACATAGGACAGAAGCAGCAAAGAGAGAACAGCTGTCAGAACAAACTTCAAAGAAAAGGTAAGTCTAAACTAAAAGCTGACATTTATATATGTTTGTCACCAAAAGCCAAACCAAAGACAAGGAAGATTTTTAATAAACATAGTTTTTTTTTTTTTGGATATCTACACAAAGTATTGCAGGAAATGGATAAAGATTAGGCCACCTGCTTTCTTAGTCATACATGAATTCCAAAATCAAAGATAAAGAACTCAGAAGGTGAGGCTAAGCATCCTCTAAAACACAACAAGAGAGGCAGGAATTAAGTCTTCTCCTATAGATCTAAAAATCTAAAGATACCATGGAACTGCAAAATCCTCCCTAAGCATAATATCCCAAAAAACAGCAGAAATTCTCTCCACTTTCAGAAAATCAGAATTACCCTATTTTACTACCATTAATCCCTCCTTTCTATGGAATTCTAATACTTCCTCTTAATGCTCAATGCAAATAAAAGAAAAATGCTACCTAAAAGGTAAAGACAAGTAACACTTTTGTTTTTGTTACACTTTTTCTTCTGCAACACTTATTTTTTTAAACTGTAATACTGGGGATTGAACCCTGGGTCTTTATCCTAGCCTCCAACCCTAACAATTTTTTTATTTGTTATTTTGAGACAGTCTTACTAAATTGCCCCATGCTGTGGTCAAACTTGTTATCCTTGTACCTCAATCTCCCAAGAGTGCTGGAATTAGAGATGCGATGCGCCACCATGCCCAGCTTCTGCTACCGTCTTAAAAAGGCAGTGGTAAAGATAAACTGTGCATCAAAGCCCCTTGTAAGAAGACTACTCTTAAAATACAAGTTCAAAAGAATTACGTATCACTAGGTTTCAGAAGTTCACTGAAGCCATGCATAGCTGTGCACACCTGTAATCCCAGCACTCATGAAGTTGAGGCATCACCGTGAGTTTGAAGCCAGCCTGGCTAAGTAATTTTGAGTTTAAGGTCAGTCTTCACTACACAGAAAGAGCCTGTCTCAAAAAAACCAAAAGGTCACTGAAGATTTATTAAAAGTTTTCATATTTTCTGCCCTCTATAAAATGACTGAGACATACTAAAAATTCAAGATAAATCCTACAATTCCAGTACTATGGAGGCTGAGGCAGAAAGACTGCTTCAAGTTTGAGACCAGCCTGGGCTACAAAGTGAGCCCAAGGCTAGCCTGAACTGCATACGGAGATCCTATTTCAAAAAAAAAATCAAGATAAAAATATTAGAGATCAGAAATTAACATAAATATACAGGTGACAGTAAAAAAGAGACTTTTCAAAAATATGTTAAATTTTATAATTACTAACAGAATAATAAAAAAGCACATTAGATACCTCTCTTATTTTTTAACTTAAAAGTAATTGTATATGATGTACTCATTTTGTCTTTTGGATACTTCCCAACAGTCTAAAAGGCTTATGTTAATAATAATACATATTTACATATGCACACACTCAGACATGCCTTACCTATTAAAGATTTTATATTTTCTAAGATTAAATCACTAGTAATATTTCCAGATAAATCTTGTCCCAATTCAGCAATCAGCTTGGCATAACCTTCATTCTCTTCCCTTAACAAATTGAATTTTTGCTGCTTATAGCTGAAATCAGACAAATACAACAGAATAAAATTAATTTCAAGTAGAAAGTTTATTTAAAAAAATAAAGTAAGTTTGCACAGAATAGTATATTCTCTTCACTGAACATTTCTAACTTAAAACAATCCTAAGAATAGCTATTGAAATTTACTTCTTTGCACATCATTTAGTATAGAAAATCATACCAGTTTATAAGGTAGCTCTAGTGTTAATTACGTATGGAAAACCAGTAACACAAGGAAAAAATATTGCCAAGGAACAGTAACATACCATCACTAAGCATATACCTTGAGTATAGCTATGATTGCTAGAAACAAAAGCACTGAATGTTATTTTAACTTTAAATATGGACAAATTTAACATTGGTTTTGCTCAGATAAACTCACTGCTGACTCAATTTTAGGCTAATTTTAGAAGGCAAAAAACAAGCTCTACACTAAAAAATAACTTCAAAGCATTTTTAGAAACTGCTAGATTCAAAATGATAAATAAAAAACATTCAGCTACATTATCTGCATCATAAGAAACAAGTACTTACAAGAGTTTTGTCTTGATTTTAACCGACTTTTGATTGAATTGCTGTGATTGTTTGATAAGCCCTAATGATTCCAATGTTTCTGGATCCAGGCGTTCCTTTAGAACTGTGTCTGAAACTAAATACTGTATTAAAAAATATTAAAGGCCATTTATTCTTTAGCATTCCAACTATGCCTCTACAATCTTAAATATATTCAAAATTATTTCTCCCAAATAAAAACACAAAAATCATATTAGACATATATATGTAAATGAAACAACTCAAAATTTGTGATGAGTTAGAACTTCAATTTAACAAAAATGATGGCCTTCCAAACACTGAAATAGGTATCTCTTTTAAAAAATTGATTTTCAAATCACCTGCATGCTATATATAGCCTACAAATGACAAGAACTACAGATGAAATTTTCATTGAATTAACTGAATTTTCACTTGATACATCACTTCAACCTTTAGTTTTTACTACAAGTCAAATTCTAGGTTATTCTTCCAGGTCTATATAACAGTATTTTCTCCTTGTGCCTAAATTTAGGAATATAAAATAGTTTACCAGACAAAGATTGTTATAAATTCTAAAATTTATTATTCTTAAATTACCCCCATGATTCCTCTAACAGTTTATGAAAAAAATTTCAGTTTAAAAGCTATCTATAATCATTTCTAGTTACTTTACAATGCTTACTTTTTCTTTTGTTAAGAACTTAAGTAGATCAGACATAACAATCAAGGTTTTATATGTACAATTTAGGTGATTTGATAATATGCCTATTTCACAGAAATAGCATTTCTAGTTTCACAAAACATTCCATTTCAAAATCTAAATCTCACCTTACAAATGCAGTCAAATGAGTATCAACATTCTCCATTAACATGATTAACTGCAATCATAACCATTTAATATAGAATTTAGTAAGCAAAAGTATTCTGAAACACTTACCAAACATGCTAATACCAATTGCGTAAAGTAGTCTCTCTTGCTTTTTTCTTCTAAACAATTTGTTTCAATATCTATATTGATGGAGAAAAAGAGATACATTTGGTCAGTCCTTCTGAACCCTCTGGTGCTAAAATGTTATTTTCCTTAAAACTAGTTAATTTTAAAATGTCTCACTATGAATTTAGAAAAATTTTAAACTATAGTAACAAGAGATTTCACATATATATGAAGACAGATCTTGTCACCTATAATATATTCTTAAAATGGTAAGTGGGTTATATAGAAACTACATGCTATGGCACTGGAAGCAAAAAAGATTCAAGAAAATTTTCTCAAAAAGAAAAATATTCTAACAAAGTTTAAATAATCAAAGATGTTACAAAGAGATTCAATTCTTAACTGCAAATTTGAAGTACACAAAAACAAAGATCTAACTCTGAGCATCCTCTTATTCATAAAGCTCAAACTTCTGATTTTGTCCACCTTTGTGAAGCTATCATGTTCTATCCAAACCACCTGTCCACCAACTTTTCATAAAGACAGTATGAAAGATATATTTAAAATCTTGTTTTGAACAACAATGCTAATCACTAAAAAAATCTTAACTCCTTTTCACTTCCTTCCTACTGAAATATTTAAAAACTGAGACCTCTTTGAGTTTCAGTAAATTATTCCAAAAATCTCAATTTTTCATATCCTAAGGTATGGTGGAAATGAAACAATTATTGCTAAATGCCAAATACCAATTTCAACCAGGACTGGCAAGATTACAAACAAGGCTGATTTCAAATTACTGCTTTGGCTGATTACATACCATTAACCTTTTCTGTAAGTCAATTGATGATTTAGAACATGCTAATTTTAAAAAGATACAGTTTTGGTAAAGCAATAAAAAATTGTCCTCTAAGTGATTCTACCAACACAACAGATGTCCCATCATGACTTTGTTTCAGTTTACTTTCTACTATCTATACTCAGAATCAAATGAGATTACCATCAAATTTAACTATTCTCCTGGCCCTTCTGCACTTTTCTTTCTTAGGCAGTTTTCACCTCCCAATATTCTGGCCTCTGTAGCTGAACACACTCAGCCCAAGTGTACTACAGAAATCTGATGAGCCAGGGATGAGGTCAATGGTGGAAGTACTTACCTGTCACATTTTAGAACTCTGAGTTCAATCCCAATACCACAAAACAAAAGTGAATATATAAGATTTATGTTTTGTAAACTGCATTAAAACCTCAATTTATCACTAAAACTTTTAGCCCAAGTGTATTTCATCAGCCTTTCCAAGGACACTCAGGTGTCACAGTCTAACTGGTCTACTAGTCCCTACTCAGCCTAGAACTTCAACCATAGTGATCTTAAGAAACTGTAGCTGAACTGGGTTCATTCTTTTAACCACAATAGCCTCCAAGGCCTTAATGTCTCTAAGATTCAATCCTATGGTCAGAACACCTGGAAGCTCTCTGAAACAGGCCTCTTTTTCTGTTCAAGACTTCTCTCGTATCAGCCACATAACCTGATTAAGATACTTACCACTCTTTCCTATTCTAATCATGAGTAAACTTTTAATAGCAACTCAGCAAGTTTCTTAGCTGTGCAGTCTCAACAATCAACATACTATGCTATTAGCCCTACTGCATTGGCCCTGCTCCATATTCTTTTTGTTCTAACTCATAATGCCATTCAAATAAACTCAGTTAACCTTAATTCTTCTATGATAAATTTGCACTTTAAAAATTCTCTTTTAATTTTCCCTATGATTATACTAAAAAGTCCTTATGTTTCCAACTCTTGTCCTCAGTATCACCAGCTACCCACCCCAGCTCAGAAGTTGCATCAAGTTACATCAGAGTCCTCCTTTCACTCTCTCATCATCATAGGATTAGTCTTTCAAAGAAAGTTATCTAGGTTATTATTAATGTATAAACAACATGATCATGGGCACTGAAGGTAAACTGATCCACATTTAAATGCTGCCTTACTGGCTGTGCAGCTTTGAAAATTTACCATTTCTCAGAACTCCTTTTTCCTAATACATGCACCTAACTTACCATAGTTGCTGTGAGCATTAAAATGAAAAGAAATGCTTAACATAATGCCTAAAACATGGGAGGCACTCCAAAAATAGCACCTATATCATCATCATCACTATCATTAACAATAACTCAAATTCTTATTCCTATTCCCCTACCTTGGTCTGGGACCACCCTTGGATCATTTTTTTCTGCCAAGGGGTGGGGGGGTGAATGAGGGGACAGGTGAGGGAAATTCTCTTTCCAAAGGCCGTCCTAATCTTGCTTGTAAAAATGGACTCGATAGACTAAAAGAAATTCCCCAAGAGCAACTAAATATCACGTTCATTAATTCATGTTACTAATAAAAAGCAATGACTTGTAACAGTATTTCCTAATATTAAACAGAGTAAGTAGACTAGTAATTGATGACAAACTATACTCCTGACCCTACTAACAAATAACAGATTCAGAAAAATGTTACCTAGAAATCATCTTTCAATCTTTTAAAACTTACTGTAAAAAATAATTTTTAAATGAAACTTAATTCATATTACTTTGTAAACTAATGTAATAGCTTTAGTGCCTGTTTCAAAAATTTAGCTCTTCCATCAATGGTCTGCTCTTTTCATTTATCAATCACCGTCCACACATACTTTAACCTGTTCCATATGTTACCATTGTTTTGAAATGTGAACTACCCTGAAGGATCAAGCTCGGGCATTTACATTTGCTGAGACCAAATTCTAGATTCTCAGTAAGACATTTGAGTAATTTATTGAATTCTAAAATATTAAAACTATTTAGCTAGGGGCTGGTGATTTAGCTCAGTGGCATAAGCACCTGCCTTGCAAGCAGGCGGTCGTGAGTTTGATCCCTGGTACCAATTGAAAAAAAAAAAAAACTATTGAGCTAAAATAATTTATCCCAGCTTGACAGACCCTCAGAGGTCATGTTATTTTATAATGAATATTCTAATGGCTACCAATTTCTCAATTAGATTCAAATTTATAGGAAAGCACAAAAATGATGAGGGAAAATTGTTCAAAATTACTTTAATCTTTATCTAATATTAGAAAAATAAATTTATAACACATTAAGTCCATATATCCCATAGAGGGACACTCCCTGTTGTTCTAAGTCAAAGAACTGTTTTTTTTGTTTTTTGTTTTTTGACACAGGGTCTTGCTATGTAGCTCAGGCTGGCCTTGAATTTACATTGATCCTCCTGCTTCAGCCTCCCAAATGCAGGGATTACAGGAATGTGCAACCACACCCAGCGAACTATTCCTTTTTTCTCTTGCATGAATTCTTATTTATTCTGGACAAATAGAGAAGCTGCTACTTCCAAAGCTGGTTTTGCATACTCAAAACAAAAGTATTTTTGAGTACTTTGGCTCTTCCTGCACTTCCTAAAATTAAGACTCAAAAAAGTACAATAAGAAAGTATGTCTTGACTGTTCTAAGTTAGAGATTCTGACATCATTTATTGAAAACCGGTAGTAAACGACATTAACTAGCTGATTACTAAAAGCTCAACAGACAAAATGTTAGAAAACATGGCTTTTTTTTTTTTACTTGAAATGACTTAGGTTAGCTCAAATTTGAATATACACTGCCAAACCCTCAAAAAATGTGAATTATACTCTAATTGTACTTTCTAAAGTGGCTCTTCTGATATTTGATAAATACTATAATTTCTATAAAGTGAAAACAGGCAGCTAGATTTGTGAACATTTGCACATTTGCAAAATTATTTATTATGAAAGAAAATTTTAAAACATTTATTTAACATCAATTTACCAAACAGCACATGTTAAATGTGAAATAAATGTTTAATACCTACCTAATATACAGAAAACGTCAGCAAGAATGGAGGGCATATCCTCACGAAATTCCTAATTTTAAAAAATATTAATAGTAAATACCAGCATATGACACAGCAAAATATAATTTCAGAATGATATTCTTCACTTAAACTTAAAAACTCCAGTATCACTATGTTAAAATCCTTCAAATATCATAGATACAAAGAAAAAGATAGCAGTTTAATGTTTAACTGTCTACCACAAAGTAATCTGATCTAAAAACAGAAACCTAAACAAGCACCTCAGGAAAGCACTGGAATTTAGAGCACTTCACACCTACCAAAATTGTTAAAAACATACAAATTAACCACACATTGTGGTGTACACCTTGGAAGGCTGAGGCAGTAGGATCACAAGTTCAAGGCCCAGGCGGGCAATTTAAAGAGGCTCTACCTCAAAATAAAAAAAAAAAAAATTACAAAGAGCTGAAACGCAGCTTAGCACTCCCTGGGCTTAATCCTTAGTACCACAAAAAAAAAGGTACAGTGTTCATCCAAAACTTTAAATGTCACGTTTATAACTGAGTCAACACTGACCTATGCAAAAATCAGACCAGAAAATCAAAAACCTCAGAAAACATAAAGCCAACTATTACTGCATAACTCAAGAAACTCTGAAGCTAAAAACACTTAAGAAAATCTATCTTCATGTTTTTTTTTATTTATAGTCTTTAAAGGAAATAACCCCAGATCCTGTTTCTGAATAAAAATGTCTGCATTATTCTACATTTGTCTCCCAATTTCCACTCCCATGCTCAATTTTGAGGCCATTTTCCGTTAATAAGGATTATAATTAAATTATTCCAATTAGTAGTTTGAAGGCCTAAAGATCAGTCTCTTTTTCAGGGGCCAGGAAATTACTTTTTTTTAAAAGCTTCCAGGTGCAAGAAGACACGCAAAACACATTTCTGCAACTAAGATACTAGAGTGTATAGTACTATGAGAAAGCCATGATGCAGAAGTATATCTTTATAAAGATACCACTAAGAAGCCAAGTGTGATGGCACAAGCCTGTAATGCCAACACTTGGGAGGCTAAGGCAGAAGAATCCTTGCAAGTTAGAGGCTAGTCTGGGCTACAAAGTGAGTTCAAAACCAGCCTAAACTGCATAGTGAAACCCTGTCTTAAAAAGACAAAAAAAGATATCACTAAGTAATGAAAAGGAGACACTAAATAATAAAGCACAAATACAAAAATTCACTTACACTATTCAAGAAAATAATGAGAATCAGATCCCATAAACATTAAAGCTATATCAAAGCCCAAATTACAGAATGAAATCATGGTAATGATCAGTCTAATTTCAGTTTCAAGTTTCTCAAGGACTATGAACTCTAGCTACGTCTACTTGACTACATTTACTCAAGCTACCTGAAGAACAAAATTAGAGTAATTCAAGAGATCTCAGACACAGAATATTTTTTTAAGAAATAAGCCACTCCTGCCAAGTATGGTACTACACATCTCTAAACCAAGCACTCAAGAGGCTGAGGCAGGACTATCCTTGAGAGTCTGACACCAAGCTGGGCTAAAAAATGAACTCAAGTCCAGCCTGAACTGCACAGCAAGATCCAGTCTTGAAAATAGATAGATCCATGGATGGACAGACAGACGGACAGAAAGAAAGAAACCACTTCAACATGAACTAGACAGTTTAGGGATAAAGAGAAACTCATATTGAATCCCTTCTACTCAAATGGACCTCGATTTGGGAGAGGAAGTCATAAGCACTAAAGAAACTTAGAATTTCCTTTAGATTATCATGGGAAAACACAAAAACTATACAAAGATTACTTCCCTAATAGAAAAAGGGTACAGAAAGGCTGGGAGATTCAGTTCAGTAGCAAAAGCACTTGCCTTGCATATATGCAAGGTTCTGGGTTCCTTCCCAGCAACACAAGGGAGGGAGAAAAGGATGATTAAACAGCCACATAACAAGAGAAATCTACACTGAGACCTAGAAGCCCCACATTCCACTGCAGTAATACTTTACTATAAAAGCTGTTGTGAAATGGATACATACTTACACAAGTTAAAACCCAGCCGATAATATACAAGTGGTATATTACAGAGTAACATACCACTTATAAAACCTCAAGCTTAACTATTGCTTTAAAATACAAATACAAATACAAACTGACATCCCACTTTCCAATTCAAATACCAAACCTCCACGAGAAGTATATGGGCTTAATCTACATTCTCCAAAAAATGAAAATGTAAAACAGAATTAATTACTTAAAGGTTTTTAAAAATCTAAATATTTTCTAAAACATCAAGCAGATGAAAACTGAAAACAAATGTTACAGCTAGGCAACCACAATTTAAAATAATTGAATCCTCAATTTTAAGATATCTTCATTTCAAAAGTACACATTTTTAGTTGTTCTCCCACATTACATAACATTTTGTTTCATTCAGAGTCAGATTAAAATATCTTTATTGCTATCTATCAAAAATGGCTAATATAGCCAGGCATGGTGGCACATGCCTGTATTTGCAACACTCAGGAGGCTGTGGCAGGAGGATTAGTGCAAGTTTGAGGCCACCCTAGGCTACAAAGTGAGCTCAAGGCCAGCCTGAACTGCTTAGTGAGACATTGTCTCAAAAAGTATTTAAAAAATTAATATCATAAAACATTCATTACTGTAATTTTCAAAAAAAATTAAGCTAAGACATATACTTTAAGGATCTTTGTATCAAAGCCACAAAGAATGTTGATATTACTAACTTAAGTAACTACATATATACAGTACTTACACTAATGTCATTAAGAACATTTGATGCCTGTTCATGCTTTAGATTTCCTTTAATAACATGATATGACAATTCATAGAGAGCTTGCTGGAAATCTGTTGAATATAAAAGAAATGAAGTAAGAACATATTCTCCTGAACATGAAAAGTAGATTCTCTACAGGAAAATGTATTTCCTACTTGTCAGAATTTTTATAAACATCAATAATAAAGGAAATGTTATTTCTAGTACTTTTATCTAGCAATTTATTCTTCCATTGTCTCAAAACACATTAGTAGGTTTAGAAAAAGTTATACATACCTTATTATTTCCAAGTGGTTAAGCATTCCCTTCACAAGATTATTTTATACGTCTACATATAATTTCACAGATTTAAAACATTTTTTCAAGTAACTAAAGTTGCTATAATTACTTTCAACGAGCACATTACTTCTAGCAAGTAGATATAAACAAAAACCATTTCTCAACAGTCAACTTCAGTTTTCTACATATATTCAGATTATACTTAGTCAACGTCAGTGCTACAATGACAACAGGTAAGGAACAGTTTAGAGAAAAAACAATATGTCTTATCCATGGACTATTGTCAGAGAAAGTAAGTTGAAATCAATTTCCATCAGAACTCAAACAAAAATACCTACCTATATGCACACAAAAAAGTTCAAGATATTGTATATGAGAACTGTCACCCACAAGTAATCACATTCATTATTAATTATCACAGCCCCTTTTCCTGGAGAAAAACCTTTTTGTTCTTAGACTGGGAAGCTAGGAGCTGAGTGATAACCTATCTTTTTCTTTAATTCATACTTTAACCACGAAAAGTAGAAAAACAAGCAGCTCTAAACTTACTAATATCTCTTTGTCATCTTTTGAGGTAAATCAAATTTTTTTCATTGCAAAATAGCTAATGAAAATGAAATATTTAAAAAATGTTCTTCCCCAGATATGAGTATCAACCTCAAAACAAGAACGTAATAGAAATCAAAATCAATCCCCTTTTAGCCAATGAAAATGCTATTTTTCAATGAAATAAATTGAATCATTAAATCAATTCCTAAAGAAAATATAGCCATATTATTCCAAATCTTTATAAAAAATGTATTATTTCATACACACACACACATACACACACACACACACACACACACATATATACATGCACATATACGCCCTTTTCATAACTAAAAATTCATCATGCTTATAAGGTAATAAAAATAAAAGAAAAATGTCTATGTGTTGGTAGGAATGAATTCAATTGCATGCTTTCCATTTCCATTAGTGCCTTACAATAAGTAACACTTATTTTAAATTATCCAGACAACTAAGAATTTTTAAAGCAATCACTTAAAAGAACAAAACAGCCAATTATCATAAACTATGTATATGTAAGAGTATATCCACTAATGCTCAACTAGGGCTCAGGGAATTTTAATCTTAATCACAGAAGAAGATTAAAATAGAGAACACACAGCCTAGGTCATTCTGCTGACACTAATGTAATATAAAAATATTCACTGTAATTCACAAAGTACCAAAAATAGTCCCTGAATCACAAATTAGCTAAATTTCTATCTAAAAGTGATTAAGAAATCTTACTGTGTTTTATCCACAGAGGCAGTAAGTGGTGCTTCAAGACCACCAGAGAGGGCCCACAGAAGCCTATAAAATGCTGGAGTTGAAAAACTTCACATGCACAATAGGGAAACTTACAACCCTTGTAATTATGCACAAAAAAGTTAATGAAAATTTTATCATAATGTTAATATTTCAGAAAGAGCAGTTTTAAGAATAGCAGTATTAAGAAGGGACTTCTAGAGATTCTTAGAAGTTCTCTGACAGGTTTGATGAAGACACCAATTTTTGATTATGTCTAATATACTAATACTACTCATGTTTATCAACTATTATTACAATGTTGTTTTATTGATGAGGGGAAGGGAATTGCTTGTTAAAAGAACAATTACTGTGTGCAAGGGAAACTGCCTGCCTGAAATGAAATTAATTCAAGGGAAGGACAGAAGGAAAAAGTCAGAAGGAACATTATTCAAACTCAATCCACAAGACAAAATCAAGGAGATTCTGAAGAAGCAGTATTTAGTTTCCTACATGCACCCACATGGACCCTCAAACCAAACCCCAAGCACTGGTTAACAACAGCCGAAGGAATATGTATTGTTGAAGAAGCAAGCAGGAGTAAGAGAAGAGTGCTGGCAATTCAGCCAGTGAGGCCATATTCACAACCATTTTTTATTTATATATGAACCAAAACAACCATTAAAATTAAAAATCAGTTATTTAAAATCCACACAATCCCACTTAAAACTGGAACAATTTTAGGAGAGAACAGTAACATATTAACTTTATAATATTTTTTAAAGAACTCTCTTATCCATATAAGGTTCCATTCAAAATCAAAGTGAGAAGTTTACAACAAAATTTACACATTTTGGATTTTATTACTCCTTAGTTCTTATTACTTTTTTGGGGGGGAGAGAATAAAGTCAAATATGGCAAAACAGTGATTTTAAGCACAGAGAAGCAAAAAAACCCTAAGTATCCAAATGTTTCTATAAGGCAATAATTTTGTATTTTCTTACATTTCTGGCAGTCAAATGGCTTGGTCAAACAAAACAAGTTATATATCCTCAAAAGTCTTTATAAGTGATTATACACTTTCAGGAGGAAGATGCTGGAGACAAAACCCAGGGCCTCATGCTTGCTGTGTGCCATACCATGGGCCCTTGTTTATACAACTTTATAAGCAGACTGTATAACAAATTAATAATTTTGGAGGTGGCATGCTAAGGATGTTAAGTCTTAAAATATATCTCCATTAACAGAAAACAAAAATGATTCTTTCATTTATTTGTTAAAAAATTAAGATTAAAAAAAATTAGATTCCACTCAAGCATCCAAATTTCTTTAAAAAGTAGATTTTCTTATATCAAGGTATTTACTTTTTGATAAAATAAATATACACATATATAGAAAAACATTGCATTCTACAGAATGTTTACACCAGCATAATTTAAGTATAATACATTCTATGTACTGATTTCTAGCTTAAAATAGAATACTGATTATGAAAATATTTTTTTCATATTGGAAAAAAACATGAGTTTTACCCTCAACAAAAGCTATATACAAAAATGTTTGCTGGGCATGGTGGTAGAATCTATAATCCTAGCTCTCTGCGAAGTAGAAGGAGAACCTGAAATTTGAGTCTAACCTAGACAACTTAGCAAGACACTGTCTCAAAATAAAAATACATACAGGAAAGTGGGTGTAGAGTTCATTGCAAAGGTCTGGGTTAAATACTCTTTATTGAAAAAGAAAGAAAATACCTTAAACTTAAGACACAATTGCTTTACTACCAAGTCCATGACTTATTTTAGATTAATATTAAATAATAAAATCTTTTAAAACTAAAATCTACATTCTGTTTAATTATGTAACATTTTTCTTTATAAATTGCATTTGTAATTCACAGTAAACATCTCCATTTTTAATGTTTTCTATGACAACTGCCTTTACAGACACCATCTAAAGATAACCAGCTTTAGTAGAAACACTGAACTACATCTGTGAAAATTTTCTGGTACAAACCACTTTTTCTTCCCAAGCTTTCACATTTATGATTAGTACAGGTAACCGCAGAAATTTAAATATACAAAGTCCCAATTATAAAAGTCATACAGGACAAAAAATTCAGTATACAAAATATATAGTCTTAACTATATAACAAGATTTAATCCTTACTGTAACATATTCATGCTTCATATAATACCTCTTACACCTTTGGTTTTCATATATAACAATGAATGAAAATGGCAGTATAGTTACTAATTTATCCAAAAATTCTACATATGCTACTTCTTAAAATCTTACCTCTGTAAGTTGAACTATCATGGCTTTTATTTTCACTGAGAATCCGGCATAAATGCAAACTAGAACAAAACAGAAAAAAAAAAAACTATCAATTTCCAACCCTACCACTAGATGATTCTTACACAAGTTTTATCAGTGGAAAAATAGATATGAATGTACCAGATATGTTTAAATGTGTTAGTTCATAATGACAAAACAAACCCCAAAATAGCTGGCCAGAACTGGAGGATGCTCCTGTGAATTCTTTATTCTGAAAACTAGAAAATACCTTTTTTTTAAAATCAAGTATTTGATTGCCTTTCATATACAAACTATGTATACTTAGCAGGAGGATCCATAGCATGATGGACAAAGGACAATACGGTTCATCTGCCTCTCACTCAGCTCTCACTCAGGGAGTTGAGCCAATAGATACGTCAATTAAAACATCACTATTTAATAAAGATTCTTATATATCAAGAATCCCCCATCTGTCAACGACTGTTCACATCACAAAACATTATGTGCCTCCTAATCCTGATAAACAAAAGTACTAACCGAAAGGAAGTAAGATTAGCATGTTTAAGAGATACCTACACTCTTGTGTTTATTATAACACTACACAATAGCCAAGATGAAATCAAAAAAATGTCCATCGATGAACAAGTGAATAAAAATGAGGTAGATTCTAAAGGTTTAGCTCAGTGACAGAGCAAACACCTAGCATGTTCCAGTCCCTGGGTTCAATCCCTAGCACCACAAAAAATGAAAGTAAGACATAGATAGATGGAATATTCATTCTGAATTATTATTCAATCATAAAAGTAAAATTCACTATGGAACAAGGATGGAATTAGAGGATACCGTGTTACATGAAATAAAGCACTAAAAAACACATACTACATATCACCACTTATATGAGGATGCTAAAAAATATGATCTCATAGAAATAGAGAATAAAACAGTGGTTATTGGTACCTGCAAAGATTATATGGGAGGGGGATGGTGAGATGATGACTAAGCGGTACAGGGATGTAGAAATTTAACAGAAAGAATAATTTCTAATGTTCTATAGCATAGTAGGATAACTACAGCTGGTAGAGAGAATTTTGAATATTATCAACATGAAGAAATGTTAAATGCTTGAGGATATGCCAATTACTCTTATCTGATCATTAGACATTATACACATAAAATGTTACAATGCATTCCATAAATATGTAAAATTATTGCACCAAATTAAAATAAAAGTATATATTTAAAAAGAACATACTGCTCCACCTGTGATATCTTTAAAAAATCATATAACAAAAAATCATGTCTTTAAAAAATCAGCAACAAAAAATCATGAGCCAAAAAAAAAAAAAAAAAAAAAAAAAAAACACTCATAAGCCAAAATCTGATCATGCTGTTTAGCTCCAACTACCAACTTACAGGAAATAAATGAAGACAGAGGAAGATATTAAGTGATATCATATGAATGTAATCACTAAAATTCTGATAGTGGGAAACTACTAGACAAAGACCCTTTTTCCTCTCTCTAACAAATAAATTCCAAGGAAAACTAAAAGACAATGGCAAATCGGCAGATTAAAAGAGCCTTAAGAAAGACAATAACAATTGTGTAAACTCTTACTTGGATCTTTTTCCAAGCTATTTAAAAATTAGAACTCATTAGATAATAGCATGTCTTATAAATGATCTTTATCTTTTGAAGGAGAATGTTTACTTACAGAACAAATGCTATTTGCTATAAAATAAGACACAAGAATAGGAAAATGGATGGAATTATTGATTAAACAAGGTTGTCCAGGATTTGGTAACTGCTGAAAACAACTGAAGATTTTTGGGAGAGCTATTCTACTTTCTTGTAAGTTGTATTTTCAATAACAGCTTTTTTAAAAAAAATTGAAAATTAAAAAAATATTGTATTTTGATAATTTTTTGTAGTACTAGACACTGAACCCAGGGCTTTCATAATGATTTACATCTTGGGTCTTTTCTGTTTTTTATTTTGAGAAAGGGTCTCAGTAAGTCAATGAACTGTCCAGGCTGATCACAACTCTTTCTGTCCTCCTGCCTCATTCTCCCCAGAGTGCTGGGATCATAGGCATACATCACCAAATCCAGCTTAGATTAATTTAAATATGTATGGGAAGTAATGGGGAAAAATACTTCACAGGAATTCCAGAAAGAAAAAAAAGACTAGGGTAAAAAATTGGAATAGCCAAGAATTCAGTTTTCTGGAACTGAAACAAGATCTAAAACTACACACCATAGTTAAGCTACAGAAACCCAAAGGCAAAATTTTTCAAGTACCTGAAGAAAAAAGACAAGTTCTATATGACTTCTCAAAAGAAAAATGCTAGAAACAGCCACGAAATACACCCAAATGCTAAAACAAAGAACCTGTCACGGTGAATTTGGTACCCAAAAAATTGTTCTAAGGAAAAGCAAAATGAAGATTCAATTTTATGCTGGGTGTGGTGGTGCATACCTTTAACCCAACACTTGGGAGGCTGAGGTACACAGGATTGCCACCAGTTTGGGACCAAACCCAGGATCAAGTACATGATAAGAAAATACTATCACTGAACTACACACCTGTAACCCTAAAGGCACTCTTTAAGCAGGATGACAGTAAATCCAGGTACAAATAGAGTTACAAGAAATGATGAGGAAGCCAGACATGGTAGCACATGTATGTAATCCCAACTACAAAGGAAGCTGACCTAGGAAGATCACAAGTTTTAAGTGAGACCAGCTACTAAGCGAGACCCTGTCCCAACTACAAAGGAAGCTGACCTAGGAAGATCACAAGTTTTAAGTGAGACTGGCTACTAAGCGAGACCCTGTCTCAAAAAAGTAAATGGATAAAGAGTGTATGTACAGCTCAGTGGTAGAGTGCACCTGAGTTCAAGCATCAATACCACAGAAAAAAGTGATAGATAAATATATGGCCAATTCTAAATGAATTAACAATAATATCTATATAGTTATATACATGCACTATTAAGTATATAGAGAAAAGTATCAAAACACAACAAGACTAAACTGAGTTTAATCACAAACACACAAGGTTCATTCAAAGTAATCTGCCACATTTTTTAGTCACAATAGGGGATGAAGCTGTTGCTCAGTGCCAGAGTACCCGCTTTACATGCACAAGGCTTTGAATTTAACCCCCAGAGCTACAAATAAATAAAATTATATTTTAGTTCAACAGACATACAAAGAGCATTTGACAGGGACTTGGCATGTTGCACAGTGGTAGAACACTTTCCCTAGCATGAAGGAGGCCCTGGATTTTATCCTCAGCACAACCAAAAAGGGGACTTGACAAAATCATTATGCATTATTTTTAATTAAGATTCAGACAAATAATAGAAATTTCTTTAATTCAATAAAAAAGCAGTTACAAGCATGTGTTTCAACGAGCCACCTGAGACTCTCTAAGAGACAAAGTCAAAACTATATTCATAATACCATGACACCATTTTCTTTTTTTTCTGTACAGATATGTGCAATAATCTAAAAGCAAAGCTTGGCATATACCAAGGCTACTGCCAAAATGTCACTGCATCCTTCATGACCAAAAGTAAACAACAAAAGTCAGTCTCACTTAAGAAGTCACAAAACTATTTCATTGTATTCCTCATTACCACTCACAAAAGCCAATTTAGCATGTCTTTGATGAGAGTGATAGCAAGAGAATATAAGCCTCAAATCTTCCTCTCTTTAAAAAGATCAACACATAAAATAATTTCCTTTATGAGAAATCCAGACACTAATTGAAAGACTCCTGTAACCAATGTAAATGTAAAAAACTAGACACTTCAATTCCAGCAGAAAAATTCAGATATGCTATCACAGTCTCTCACCCTAGCATAATGCCATGTGATTCAGGCACAAACTCCCAGCATCTGAATTCCTAAGGAGGAAAACAGAAGACAATGTTCCTGATTCTTCTTGGTGATGGTGCAGATCAAGAGACTAGTTAGTTTCTGTCCTGCCAGTCTTGGAACACAGATGGGATCTGTCAAAATCTAGATGCTGCAGGGTAACTAAGAACAATGACAACAAAAAAAACAGGGAATCATACTTCTGTCCCAGAGGATCCATAGCACAACAGTTAAAGGACAATACATGTCATCTGCCTCTCACTCAGCTCTCATTCAGGGAAGAAAAAGAAGAGTGGATAATGCATCCAAAATTCCATCTTTGGGGGTTCTGCTTCAGAGCAGACTAGTTTCTGATCAGACTGACTCATGGTACTTACAGAAGCTGGTGTATGCAAGATGTCTGGAGGCTGCTAAGACGAGAAGAATGGCAAGCTACTGCTTCCGAGATTGACTTGTGATTTAGCATGAAGATACCAAAGAACAAGACATTACAAACTCCAGCAAGTGTGTATGCCCCTTACTACCAATGTATGACCACAAGTCTAGAGAAAAAAATACAGAAAAGATTTCAGATGTTCCCAGAATTCTCTAGCTGGACTGGCTAGTGAAGCTCTCTACTGAATAAACCTACTCCAGAAGGACTAGGATAGATGATTTTTCAAATGTGAAAGTACTAACACAAAGTTATAAGGAATGTGAAAGAAACAAGGGAAAACTGCCAATCAAAGGAGCGAAATAAATCTCAAGAAACCAATCCAATGGCTGGGAATGTAGCTCAGCGGCAGACTTCTTGCCTTGCATACACAAGGCCCTGAATTTGACCTCCAACACAAAAAAAAAAAGAAAAGAAAAAAGACAGGCTAGGGATTTAGCTCAGCAGCACAAGTGCTTGCCTGGCAAGCAGGAGGCCATGGGTTTGATTCCCAGTACAAAAAAAAAAAAAAAAAAGAAAGAAAGAAAACCAATCCTAAAGAAACAGAGGTACATGAATTTCCCAATAAAAAGAATTCAAAATAATCATATAGATGTTCAACAAGCTCAGGAAAATGTTCCAGAACAAAATGAATTCAACAGACACAAAATATAAAAAAGAACCAAAGAGAAATTTTGAACCCGAATGTAATAACACAACTGAAAATTGTAATACAGTACTTCAATAGTAGACTGTGCAAGGCAGA